TATTATTTTAATGATATTATTTCTATTATTTTTTTAATTATTCTATTACTATTATTATTACTAATATTATTATTGTTGTTATTATTATTATTATTATTATTATTATTATCAACATCATTATTATTGTTATTATTATTATTATTATTATTATTATTATTATTATTACTATTATCATTGTTTTTTAATTCTACATATTATTATCATTATAATCATTAGTATTATTATTACAATAATTATCACTATTTTCTTTTTACAGCCTTTTCGAAATTTTCAATTCTTCTATAATAGTTTAGTTCCAAAGCATTCTAGCGCTTTTATCTTTCCCGCTTTGCATGCTTACTAGTTCTAACCCTCAGTGGCTTAGTTATTCGAAATTGTCCGAATACACTAGCAGCGTCGTACAGGAATCTAGACAGTGATAGTGTTCTAAAGTAGTCATAGTTCTCACGGTATAATGATTTGCTAGAAAGAGTATACGTTGTTTTATGACAACAGACTTCGAAGCCAGGGCAGAAGAAATCATAATTATGTGCTTTGTACCATGTACAAGCATGTGTCTGTTCACGTGTTTGTGTGTGTGTGTGTGTGTGTGTGTGTGTGTGTGTGTGTGTGTGTGTGTGTGTGTGTGTGTGTGTGTGTGTGTGAGTGTGTTTATGTATTTACGAGCGTATGTGCTTTTACATGTTTGTGTGAGTATGTATTTTTGTGCACGTATTTGAATATGAAATTATGTAGTAACAGACCCTCAAAGCGCAGAAAAGACCAATCAAAACCGTTTAATTATTGTCTGGTGTTCCCTTTCCTGAAACTGTCACATCGCCGGTGTCGCAAGCAGTCCACGTAAGTCCGGTAGGGTACTCTTTACGACAGAGACAGTTTTTGTTGGGTTTTTTTTTTTTTATTGCAATCTGCTCACGACAGACCACTTGTGTATCCCGAAACCAAAGACTGTTCTACAACAATATGAGTCACTCCGCTGTTTTAAACACAACAGATGATGTTCCCGAATGCGTCATCCTTGGTAAAAATTACAAAATGTACGCCGTGTTTTAAGATTATTATTTTTTTTAGTTAGAAACTCCTTCAATGCTTTTTTTTCAGAGAGTGGCGTATCTTTTAGACAATCTTTTTATTATTTGTTTTTGACATACATCACTTTTGAAAAGTCTGGACCTTCGAAATACATTGAAGTTCATTCAAAGAAGAGAAAGGACTATAATATGTGAGGCAGCCTGGTGGAATCAGGCTCTCGTCAAAATTATCAAAGTGAAGTATCATGCATTTTCACACAGGCTTGTGAATTTTTATCAAATTTTTGCTTTTTGGCTCAACACCTTTCATGCAAATTTAAAGCACGAATTTCTGTGTGGATTTTTCTGAAAAACGTTTATTAAAAGCACAAAAAAATGTAAATTTTCTGTTACCACCGACTAAGAAATAACTAATCTTTGGTGGCCATTTTCTCACTAATTTTACCTCTTAAAACAGGTAATCCCACCTCCTTCATTCACAAATATCTTGACTTGTGTTCAAGATAAATGGATATTTTTTTCATCCAAATAAAGATAAGTTAACAAGCTATAAGAAGATACCAATAACTCTACAAAAATTGACGAGAGCCTGATTCCACCACGCTGCCTCACATATTATGCTTTATTTTGATACGAGCTTCCTTGTACAAAATTGTAACAATTAGTTTCAGTCATTAATTCATTTAATGTTTACTTGAAAAGTTTTTCAAGCAGTCAGATAGGCCTCCCCATGTAAAACGTATCTCTTTGACAAAGACTATTCAAGAGTTATGGTAAAATTCAATTTTATAGCACCGCAAATGTTCTGTTTAAAATGGCATAGTTTGCTTTCTCTCATTAGAAAGGTCATTTGACGACGATTGAAAAATAATAATTTTGAAGCGCTAACTCATAATATGAGCTACTGAGGCAAAAAGTAAAATGTATTATTGGTGTTAGAGAATGCATAGGGGTCACAACTTGTATCTTAATTGGTCTCAAGAAATATTTCTCTGAGTTGGAGCATACCTAAAAAGAAAAGTCAAGAAGAACATGCTTTTCAAATAAACAATCTTCATGAAGATTCAGTTTAACACTAAAGATTTCTGATTAGCATATTACGTTACTTTCCTCCCGGCCGTTTTTTTTATTGGGGATCTTTCTAAATATTATATCCAGCTCAGGTGAGGGAACCATAATCATATCAATATATACATACATACATTACATACTATAATGCTTACAGTAACATTGCAGAGAATTCCATAGGTTAAACTGGAGCTTAGAGGTTGGCTTTCCCCCGGAAAAGTTCAGTATTCGTGTCTAACGAGAGCCAAAACGATTAGCAAAGTGTATGCATTCTCCCTATCAAGTAGCCAACACCCTTGCAAACTGTAGACTCCAGTCGTGCTTGACAATCCTGCAGCTTTATGAGAATAAAATGTAGTTAGATGGCTCGGGCGCGCTGCTCCAATGCGTTGCATGCGCATGCGCGATCACTGCGCACGCACGCATTACGCCAGCGCTTGCAAAATACTCTTCAACCCGCGAGCTCGCTGCTAGCAGTATTCAATCACATGATCCTAATTTGCAGTTATGTCACGTGACATAGTCTTTGAACGTCGGGGGCAATCCACAGGTCACTAAGCTCCGGGCTTAAACAGTCTATAGAAATTGCATGAAGTCGGCCAGCTGTCCAGATGTAATTGTCTAAGCCTGAAGTTTTGTTCATTTTTGTTTTGTTCATTGCAGTTTCTACATCTGTGGTATCGGCTGCGTATGTTCAAGGAATATTTTGTCGAAAGTTTCATATTAAATGTTGGAAAAAGGAAGTATAAAAAATAATTTAATTACAGATACTAAAACAATGAAAGTTTTTCTTCTTTGTCTGGAGAAAAATTAATGTCCTTTTCTGGCCTATTACATTTGAACAACTTGCCGACGATATGGAATAATCTTTCTTTCTTCTCTCGGTGTTTTTCAAATCTCTAGGCCTGCGGTCGTCTCCTCCTGAGCTCCTGATTGATGTCCAGATAAATTCGATAACGTTTGGGTAAAAGTAAAGTTTAATCCTGTGTTTGAAACCTATTTAACATTGAACGCACATCAAAGCTCCCCACTCTCCGTGGAGGCCATGCATGGGTCGAAAAGATGTTAAAAAATCAAAAGTCGTCTTAAACGTTTTTCTATAAGTATAAGGGGGGGGGGGGGGGAAACGGGGGTTCGACATTTACTTTTACCCTCGTTAACTTTGTCTTACCCACGTCCCCGCGACTAATTCTTCTACATACTTAATTCAGGGAGCAAAGCTGCCTCCTCGCACTCAAGCATATTATTATTATACTCATGTTGTTTCTGGGTCTATTCTTTTTTTTTAATGTATTATTATGGCACCTTTTCTGTTGTTTAGTATATTATGTGGGTTTTTATGCCTCACTCAATATGATCATGTCATTGGTGCGATTTCCGAATTGCACGTTTTTAAGTTGTACCGGGTATTTAAAGATACTAGACCCAAACCCTCATTATGTAGTTGTTGTTTTCGTTAGTTACTCTTCTTTTCTCTTATTGTTGTGCCTTCATTTTGACCCTGAGAAGGCAAAGAGTAAGCACTCCCCACACCCCAAACACCAGTTTCTGTGGCGTAACAGTGGGCCTTTAATTTCTGTTCACGTAAGGAGACGTGAGTTCGATTCCCGTTGGTGGAGAACATGTATCCAGTACCTCCGTTTTTCTTTTTTCATTTCAGCCTAGTTTGGCCCTGGTGGGCAGGGCCGTCTAGATCTATACTTTCAAAACAAACTTTATGAAAACATTGTGTGGAATTTAAAAAGGGAGGTTTGACGTCATGAGAAATTGTGTCGAGAAAAGATTTACTGTTTTTAAAAAAATGAGACTGCGATTTTTTTTTATAGTGAGTAAGCCTAGGCCTACAACTCTGTGTGGACGAAACAAAAGATTTTGGAAAAATCGAGGTAAATCTTTTTAAAGTTAGGTCCTAGCCACATGGATGCTGGGGACGCCTGCAAAGTTTCAAAGGTGTGTGTTAGGTAATAAGGGAGGAGTTTGCGCACAAAGCCTCCCAAGTCCACTTTTTATAAAATAAAGAGATTACATTTGGCGTAGCACCTTATAGCGCGACTTAATATTATACTGCTGCGAATGCGCGCGCGATGATAACCATTGTCTCAACATACGCGACATGCAGATTGGAAAGGTTACGACACTGATGTTGCTGTTGAGCAGAAATTTACAACATGCAAATGCTCTTCATTATCATATACCATTATTTACTTATTGTTATGCCTAAAAGCGGCTGTTTCTTGTGTTTACGATCTCAAAATGTATTCCATATCTCCTGGATAATATTTTTTTGGCTAGGTTTTCGGTTTCAATTGGTCACATATGTCTCTTTCCTTCAGAAAGATTAGACCAAATGTCTGTTATAAAATCATACATTTAAAACTGAAATCCCCATAAACTGTTTCTTTTTACACACGTCCCTGCTTACGTATTCGAAACACTGGTAGGAGTCCAATGCACATAATCTATTAGATGTAAAATCAACACTTATGTAGCTTTGGACATTTTTCTCAAATTTCACTGAAGCATTATCAACTGAAGAAGTCATTTCATCTTCTGCTTTCCCTTTTGTATATTAAGTCTTTCTTGTTTCTTTATTCATGAAAATGGAAATCGAACAAAGCTGTTTAATATGGAGTTAGTGAGTACTTTAGTGTGGCTTACTCCTGATTATCTGTTGAACATCTCTCGCCTCCTTTTTCTCTTTATATATTACTCTCTAAGAAAGCCTCTAAAATTCTGTACTTGTATGACCTATTTGCGTTGCAAAAAACTCTTACTCACCCCCCCCCTTTTAGCGAGTTTTCAAGGTGAAAGAACAAAGGGTCATGCTTTTGTAACCACACACACACACACACACACACACACACACACACACACACACACACACACACACACACACACACACACACACACACTCGCACACTCAAAAAAAAAAGAAAAAAATATTTTTTTAAAAACGCTGTAAGATTGCTATTGAAAAAGGTACTTTACCCTTTCCTCTTCCTTTTTGTTAGTCACTTCACCATTTCGTTTCCTTATTTTCACGACGACAAAATCTAACACGGCCGTTTACCCCTATCTATCCCCAGTCAAGATGGTAGCCAAGGACGTTGTGGCGGAGATCGGCATGAGCCCTAGCAACAACCTCAAGGTGGAGTGTGCCGCCTCCAAGGCGTGGGGCTGGACCTACATGTCCATTTCCAGATACGAGGGCGATAGTGACTTCTCTCTCGAGTTCCTGGGTGAGTCAAATAGATGAATGAATGGATAGATAGTTAGATAGATAGATAGATAGATAGATAGATAGATAGATAGATAGATAGATAGATAGATCGATCGATAGAGAGATCGATAGAGAGATCGATAGAGAGATCGATAGATAGATAAATAGATAGAGAGAGAGATAGATAGAGGGAGATAGAGAGATAACGTACGAAGATGGAGATGAAGATAGAGGGAATGTGTGGGCAGGAGAAAGAGAGAAGAAGGAATATGAAAGTTGGTGGTGTGGACGTACGAGATGGACAAGCAGGAGAAAAATTAAAAGAAAGAATTTTAAAAACGAGTACTCGTATGTGTGTGTGTGTGTGTGTGTGTGTGTGTGTGTGTGTGTGTGTGTGTGTGTGTGTGTGTGTGTGTGTGTGTGTGTGTGTGTGCGCATGTGTTTATGTATGTGAGTGTGTTTGAGAGAGACAGAGAGAGTGAGAGTGAGATAGAAAGAGAGAAAGAGAGAGAGAGAGAGGGGGGGGAGGGAGACAGAGAGAGAGAGAGCGAGTGTGTTTGTTACTCTCTTGCAACACCTCTAATCTTCAGCACTTATATGACGTAACTGTGTTGCAAGCTCAGTAAAACGCTTACTAAAAATAAGCTAACAATAACAACAGGCTCGAGAATTGAGAAATGAAGAAAGGATTCGGAAAAAAACGCATTCCTGTGTCTCATAAATGTTAGTTTATAGGGATAAAAATCGTTGTGAGCTACTTTTTCGTTTGATTTTTTTTTAATGGAATTTGGTATCGCCATTGCCCCTTCTCGACTGACAGTCCAATAACCATCAACACGCTCAACCCCACGACGAAAGGAACACGGGGTTGATCTCACAGAGACGATCTTTTTGTTTTCCCCCAGCCACTCAAACTTGCTGGATTAATTCAAGAAAACCTAATTTCGGACCTGCCGTCATTTTTTTTAAAAATCGTATAAATATGCAGAAACAAGGCCACTTGATATAAAGCAGACCAGATGCTTGCATATTATTGCATAGTCTTCTGTTAGCTGGTGCAAAGGTTACGTCGCAAAAACTAGTCAACTGGAATTAACCTACTGTATTTACGCATCGTGTATGCAAATGAACAAAATCCATCTAGTGAGCTTCAGTTCTTGCAACAGCAAAACTTGATACTTTATAGTGGTCCTTGTGCGCACAGCAGTGGTAATACCATTTCCAATGGTGTATTAACTAAGGCGTTGGTACTGACAACTGTGGGCAATTTTGGAGTGGGGGGAGGTGGGGTAGGGAATAGGAGGAGGGAATGAGGAAGGGTTTGGAATGAGGAAGGGTTGGGGAAGATGGTAAATATACGGGTTGTAACACAGGGGTTAGTACTAACAATACAATAATTGTAAAAGTTCTTTGAATATCAATAAGAACATTGATGACATCATCACAGGCGGTGTGGAGAAGCGAGACGAGTGGCCATTCATCCCGATCGACTCGCGCATGTCTGACTTCACCCTCCACCGAGACGATGAACAAGTCACCCTGGCCCTGGAGACCAAGTACGCAATGTGTGAGGACAAGGGGCGGTACCTGTGTGAGGCGATCGTCAACAGGACAATCTTCAGTAAAACCTTCAACGTCGACGTCAAAAGTAAGGACCTTTTTTAAATGTTTGTTTGTTTGTTTTTGTGTTTTTGTTATTTTTGAGGGGGGTTCTTTATTTGTTTGTTTGTTCGTTTGTTTTTATTATATAATTCGTGTTTTTATCTACAATTAGTGTGGTATGATTTTTTCTCATGAAGCTGAAAATGCTTCTGAATGCTGTCGAATGTTTGGGGTCATAGTTAATTGAAAATCCCTTAGAGTTTGCTTTCGGGAGCGATGAAATAATAAGCAATATGTACAAATTACTTTTTTATTTTTCATCCTCTTTTACCGTTGAGCGTCAAGAGGAAATGCAATTTTCTGTGGTAGGCCAACCCTGCAGGTTTTTTAATTGAGATGTGTAGTGGTTTCTCAGGGTTCCCTTGAAGCTCTCAGTCTTTTTTTATGGTGGTCTACCTCTTATTTTGTAACTTGCTGTTACAGGCTCTCAAGTCTGATTATGATTATGTGGCATTTATTTGCCATCTATCAATCCAACTGCGCTTCTCTGTACAACTTTGATCCATTGTGAATGTCCACAGGTCCAGATTTGTACCAAACTTTTGTTGTTGTTGTTGTTGTTGTTGTTGTTGTTGCCGTTGTCATTGTTGTTGTTTTTGTTGTTCTGTTTTGATTTTGCCTTTTACTTCTAGTTGCTGTTTTTTATTTTGTTCTTTTTTGTGTTGTTTGTTTGTTTGTTTGTTTGTTTGTTTGGAGGGAGGGAGGGAGGGAAGGGTTGTTTTCGTGTTTTTTGTTGTTTGTTTTAGGAGGGGCAAAATATCAAATTATTAGGCTCTCCGTCAAACGTTTCACTTATATTATATTGCCTTTAACAACGTGTTCAGAGTTACGATTTTCTTTTAAATATTTCTAGTCGAGGGCTTTAGAGTGTTAATGTTATTATTCTTGTCATTCCTGCATTTCATTTTCTTTCTGTCTGTCCAGAGAAGCCTGAGCCGCCCAAACTAAGCTTCCCGGAAGACATTTTCGACGGCGACACCATCTGGATGACAACTACGTGGGACGCGGGGAACCCCCTGCTGGGGCATATCGTGCATGAGGTCATTAAAGGTTACAAAGGTAATGATTAATATATTATTATGTCTCTCTGTCTCTCTGTCTCCCTGTCTCTAGTTTTTTCTCTCTCCGTCCCTCGCTCTCTCTATGTCTTTCTCTCTCTTCTTCTATATCTCTCTGCCGTAGATAGATAGATAGATAGATAGATAGATAGATAGATAGATAGATAGATAGATAG